CCCGACCTGTGTGGCCGAGCTGCCCCCCATCAACCCCCCAGCCTGCCCTGCGTGGTGCATGTGCTTCCCATACCCCTGGGGCCTGCCCTATATGGTCCAGCTATCACCCATATACCTCGCTCCAGCCCGCCCTGTATGGCCCAGCTGCTCCCAGTACACCCCCCTGCCTGCCTAGCGCCCCACGTGCTTCCCACAGAGGCCCAGCCTGTCCTATCTGGCCCAGCTGCCTCCCCGCACCACCCCTCCCATGTCATATATGGCCCACTCCAGCCTCACCTCCCTGTCCCATACATGCCCAGGTCCCATATGGCCCCACTTTTCCCCCTTACATTCACCCCTACTGGGACCTGCCCCATATGCATCCAGCTCTGGCCCTCCCAGTCCCCTGGAGCCCACCCTAGTCTTCCCCACCCAGGACTCCCTGTCGTTTTTCTGCCCCCTGCTCCAGCTAGCAGGGTCTCATACAGGCCAGGGAGACCGGCACAGACTGGGAGGTGGCCAGCGTCCAGACACGCGAAAGCAAGGGCAGAAGGCAGGGCACCCCCACAACTCGGGGAGAGCTCCTTGCTTGCGGGAGGCTGGACGTCCCTGCCACCCCTCTGGTCAGTAGATGGCACTCCAGCTCCGCGCCACGTTGGAAGCACCAGGCGCAGCTGGATAACACAGCCAAGGGGAGGCGGATGGCCTTGACCCCAGCCCTGGGCCACAGAAGGGGCCGTCACTGACCCCAGGTCCTGGGAGAGCCGAGGATTAGATGATCTGGCCTTTGCAAGCTCAGGTGCAAGAGGTCCCTCTTGTAGCCTGAGCCTTTTGGACGGGGCGAGACATAAATCTAATAAATGGCTAAAATAGGCCGAGCTGCCATCATTTCTCTCCCGGGGACAGCTCCAGGTGGAGACACAGGACGGGTGCATAACCCCGCGGGGCAGGAGACAGGTGTGGGAGGTGGGCTTGCAGCTTCCAAACCAGCAGGCTGGGTGCTGGGAATCCGGGTGCGGACACACATGACGCGGTTTAGATGCAGAGCGGACTCGAAACGTTCGGACGTGCAGGCCCATCAAACTGCCCCGCAGGTGCCCAGGGTGGCTCAAAGCAGCTCTCAGGTCCCACGGCGGATGTGGACGCCAAGCAACACTGGTCTGGTTGGTCCTCCAGGCATCCCACACTGCATTGCTTCAGGCAGCCCACCCCACACCGCATCCACACTGCATTGCTCCGAGCATCCCCCCTTGCATTGCATCCACACACTGCATGGCACCCACACTGCATTGCTCCAGGCATCCCACCTTGCATTGCATCCACACACTGCATGGCACCCACACTGCATTGCTCCAGGCATCCCACCTTGCATTGCATCCACACACTGCATGGCACCCACACTGCATTGCTCCAGGCATCCCACCTTGCATTGCATCCACACACTGCATGGCACCCACACTGCATTGCTCCAGGCATCCCACCTTGCATTGCATCCACACACTGCATGGCACCCACACTGCATTGCTCCAGGCATCCCACCTTGCATTGCATCCACACACTGCATGGCACCCACACTGCATTGCTCCAGGCATCCCACCTTGCATTGCATCCACACACTGCATGGCACCCACACTGCATTGCTCCAGGCATCCCACCTTGCATTGCATCCACACACTGCATGGCACCCACACTGCATTGCTCCAGGCATCCCACCTTGCATTGCATCCACACACTGCATGGCACCCACACTGCATTGCTCCAGGCATCCCACCTTGCATTGCATCCACACACTGCATGGCACCCACACTGCATTGCTCCAGGCATCCCACCTTGCATTGCATCCACACACTGCATGGCACCCACACTGCATTGCTCCAGGCATCCCACCTTGCATTGCATCCACACACTGCATGGCACCCACACTGCATTGCTCCAGGCATCCCACCTTGCATTGCATCCACACACTGCATGGCACCCACACTGCATTGCTCCAGGCATCCCACCTTGCATTGCATCCACACACTGCATGGCACCCACACTGCATTGCTCCAGGCATCCCACCTTGCATTGCATCCACACACTGCATGGCACCCACACTGCATTGCTCCAGGCATCCCACCTTGCATTGCATCCACACACTGCATGGCACCCACACTGCATTGCTCCAGGCATCCCACCTTGCATTGCATCCACACACTGCATGGCACCCACACTGCATTGCTCCAGGCATCCCACCTTGCATTGCATCCACACACTGCATGGCACCCACACTGCATTGCTCCAGGCATCCCACACTGCATTGCTTCTCACCCCCTACCAACCACTGCTGCAACTGGCTGCTCTAGGACGCAGCCAGAACTCTACTGCCCCTTCCACCCCCTCCACCTTTTTTATCAATAAGCCCCTTTGCCCTGATCAATACAAGCAATACCTTTCTAGCGATCGGCTGTGCCTGCACTCCCTAGTCAACCACAGCCCCCACCCCCATGCCCCCCGCCCCTGGGCCCAAAAAGCCCTTCTTCCCCTCGCCACGTCCGGGCACATGCAGCACAGACATCAGTCAAGTGCAGGCCATCAAAGTTTATTGAACTTGTGCTTAGGAGAGAAGGGACAGCAGAAAGGGAGCAGGACCTCCCCAGCCCAGGTCACCCACCCCAGGGACCCCCAAAGCACGGGGGCACGCTTCCCCCTCCAGCTCACTGCCAGGCTCCCCTGCCTGCCGTGAACTTCACAGCCCTTCCATGCCTGAAAAGGGGCTGTTCTCCCTGGAGCGCCAGGCGCTGTACGTGTGGACACCTCTGTGGCTGGTTCCCCGTCAGGGACACGGGGGTGTGGTTTGACTGTGGGTGACTGCACCTTTCAAGGGCCAAGTGCCCTGTAGCCCGGTGTGTCCCCGTTGGCTTTCATCCTGGCCCCCCAGCACCGCGCCACGCCAGGCTGCAGGGCACGGGTGCCCCGAATGGACCGGTCCCAATCCAGGAAAGGGGATGGGAGGATGTGGCAGGGCTGGGCAGGAGGGAGGAGCACGGCTCGACCCCTGCCCTGTGCGTGCCCTGCTGTGCTGCCCTGCCACGGAGGGGGCCAGGAGGCTTGGCCCAGCAGAGTCATGCTAGAAACCCTCCATCTGCCTGTGGGCACTGGGCAGGGTCCTGGCTCCATGCCCCCTCCCCTCATGCCCCTGAGCCTGGGGCACGCAGGCTGTTTGCATTGATGGAAGAGACCGGGTGTCTCTTTGGCCCCTCCCAGCCTCTAGCCCTTGGGTGCCTTGGGCAGGATCAACCCCTTGGCCTGAGCAGGCAGGAGCTGAGACAGTGCCAGGGCACTGGGTCTGTCCAGCGGGCACTTGCGTGTGTGGCTTTGGGCATGCATCGGGGGGTCTGAGCCCTCAAATGCTCCCAAGACCCTGCCACAAATCCTTGCCCTTGGCCTGAGCTTTGTCAGCAGGGGACTGGGAGGGGAACGTGCTCCTGGCAACCCCGTGGGGTCCTGGCATCTTGGACACGTGCCACGAGCCGGTAACAGGGGGCAAGACCCAGACCGGAGTCACTAGCCCAGGGGCCGTAAGGGACTGGGATGTGGGCAGTTCCCCATCTGAAGCCACACGCCAGGAGCCCCAGTGAGAGCATGGGGAGCTGGGCTGCAGCCCGGGGGTCTCTGGGAGGCTGGATCCGGGAGTCGGCAGGTGGGCACCGGGCACCCAAGGCTGGCGCCATCTCTCCTGGTAGCCCGACCCAGCTGGGGGCCATCCATCCCGGCTCCAGGCACCAGCTACGTGAGCTCAGCTGGCCCAGGAGGGTGCTGTGGGCAGGGAGGGGGTGACAGGTGCCATGCCTGGGGCCACGCGGCCCGTGGGGAGGGGCAGCAGCTGGGGACGGAGACGCAGAGCCGGGGGGCAATGTCCGTATGGAGCTTTATTCACACAACATGGAGTCGCCTCTACATGTCCATGCTTCGTAATTACAGAGTTAGTCAGACAACGGTACGCAGTAGTTGCCCCCCCCTTCATCGCCTCCGAGGCCCGTGTCGCTGCAGGTCCCCGGCGCGGCTCTGCAACGTCCGTCTGCCGCCGCGAAGGCCAGCCCCAACGCCCGAGATGATTGTCCGAGGAAGAGGAGGAGGAGGAGGGAGGGACGGTTGGACGACCCCTTTTGCTTTGATGGGAAGGAAGGAAAATGAGATGGAAACCGGAGGCCGCCCCGGGCATCCGGGGCCTGGGCCAGATCCTGGTCTCGGTTACGCTGGCCCAGACCTGGGGGAGCTCCCCGCGCTTGCTCCGCTGGTGCAGCCCCTCGGGATGGAGGGCTTCTTGGCGATGCCTGGTGCCCGCGCAGGATCGGGCCCTGCTGATTTACACCCGCACCCTGTTCCCGTGGCTGCGAATTGGCCGCAGATGGCATGTGTTGCCCCTGTCCGGACTCAGCCGGGTGCAGCGGCCCCAGCAGAGGAGAGCCCAGCCCGGTTCGTGGGGGGCTGGTTCTGCTCTGCCCGGGGCGGTCGAGGTGGCGAGCGATGCCAGGTCTGGTGCCCTGGAGCTGGGCGGACCCCCGGGGCAGCTGACGGGGGAGCAGGGCTCTGCAGTGCCTCCAGCCCTGGCTCTCGGGAGCTGCTAGCAGCGGGTCCGTGGTTAGGGAGGACGTTTGACTGAGGTGTTTGGCAAGTGGTCACGGCGTTTGCTTCCACAGATCCCGGACCGGGGGGTGGGCTGTAATGGGGTGGGTTGTACTGGGCTGTACTGGGCTAGCTCCCTGTCTGCCGTCTGCTCCTGGAGAACACCCTCCCAGTCACAACCCCCCCACCCACCCCGCGCGGCGCCGGCTATCGGCACGTCGGCTCCCGCCTTGTTTCATCCCATTAATAATAAATAAAAACGTTTCTAAAAAAAAAAAAAAAAATCTTCTATATAAAAACCAGGAGGAAAAGAAGAGTCCAGTTTGTACCAAGGAGAGAGAGAGAAAGAGACCGGGACCGGCCCCCGGGGCAGAGCGGGGGGCTGGCCGGGGGGCCGGGGCTGGCGCGGGAGCTCTGGGCGCGATCACGAGGGCTGGGGGTGGTTTAAAAAAATTCTCTGTACAGGTCTTGTCGGTAAACGCAGGGGCAGGGAGGAGGGGGCTGGGTCGCGCCTCCTGCCTGCCCCGTGCTGGAGTCCAGCTCATTCCCGCCGACGCTAGGCCCAGCCCCAGACAGGTCGAGGGGAACGTTCCTGTCGGCTCCTGAGGCATCTGGACCTCCCCATCTTCCCCGGATCTCAGCTCTGGGGCATGTGCGACGGGACCCCAAGGCCGGCGGCAGCCCCGGGGCCCTCCTGCCTATGGGAAACCTTCAGCTCCGTCTGGAAAAGAGCTGGTTCCTGCCAGCGAAGGGGCGATGCAGAAGCAGATTAACGGCCTGCAGGCCTGGGCACGTGGCCCTGGCAAGGGGCACCGCTCCCATGGGGCTGCACGGTGGGTAGGTGCTGCCGAGGTCTCCATGAACATTGCAGGGAGAGGAGCCCTTGCCTGTGCCTGCGTCTTACGGCATGGACAGACATTCGATCTCCCAGGAGAGTGATTTAACCTAGGTTATTTTTCTCCTGGAGAGGCCATTTTTACTCTGGGAGAAAAAGCCTGAACATCTGGACGCTCGTGTTTTCTCCTGGGAGAGCAGCGACTCTCCCAGAAGAAACTGAACATCTGTACAAGGCCTCCAACAGAGGCGCTGCTCCCAGGCCCTCCAGCTCCCCACTGCAGTGCCTCCCAGGCAGGGGCACGCATGTGCCAGCTGCTCCGTGGGGACCATGGAGGGAGCCGTGCTCACGTGCCCCCAGCTGTTGGCACGGGGCGGGATGTGAGCATGCCCGGGGTGCTGCTCCTCTCCATGCACCAGGAAGACAGGAGCAGAGAGGGGTCACTAAGCAAAGGCTGGGAGGTGGCTGCTGCCCAGGGAAGCCAGATGGGGGTCCCTGCCAGGGGGTCTGTGCCCGACCCCCCGAGGAATGGCTCCATCCCCACCAGGGAACAACGAGCATGGTGCAGGCGAGGGGATAGGGATGCCCCAGCCTGGGGGAGGCAGGGGCAAGAGGCGAGCGGGTTTCTATTTTTGGTCAGAAGCCGTGGGGGGTCCCCGCGTGGGGCCCCAGGACATGAACGGGCGCGAGCGCGTGCAGCGGATGGACGACGGCGCGAGGGATAAGCAGCGTCTGGGCGGAAAGCGATGGCGGCGGTGAAGCAGACGATGCGTGCCTCTCTAGGTCTCCCGAGACGGCTGGACCGGCCTGGAAGGTGGCACTCACACCCGGGTCGGACAAACTCGGAGCTGGCGATGCTGCAGCTGGGGCTAGTCGAGGCCAAGCCAGGAGCCGGTGCCTCCCACCCTGCCGGGAAGCAGGGGCCATGCGATGGGGCATGCAGTGAGCGAGGGGCTGGCACGCACATGGCGGGGCTTGTTGGCAGTGACGTGGGTGACTTCAGCACCTCGTAGCCAGGGGCCCTCCGGGCTGGCTTCTGCCCGGTAGGACGCAGCTGCGGGTCCAGGGCACCGTAAGCAGACTGCGGATGGGCCTGGCCTCACGGGGTTGGACAGGGAGGTCGCTGCTGAGATGGGGCCGACACGCTCTT